GTTATCGTATCTCAACTCTGCATTTCAGGAAAGAGAAAGTGAGTTATAGAGAAGTCAAGGTGGTTTGTTCAAGGTCATAGGGACAGGGTACTAGGTCCTGACTTTTAATTCAATGCCATTTCCATTGCATGAGCTAGTTTTAACTGGCCTTCCATGATTCTAGGGACTCTTACAAGACTCTTTTTATCTTTAGAAGGTAATTTTCTGTATGTGGATCTCACCTCAACTTCAAGTTTGTATGAACATATACCCGTTTGAATTACTTTTGAATAGAAGACAGTGAGGCAGGAGAGTCTGACAAAGCACAAAAATGGTTTTCTTTTTTAAGATCAAACATATTTTGTATCGATTTGAGAGTCTGACAAAACACAATAAATGGTTTTCTTTTTACGACAAAACATACTTTGTATCAATTTCCATATGTATAAGAATATATGTATATACATATTATATGTGTATAAGTAATACAATGTAGGGAAGCAGAGAGAGGATATATTTTAAAATCTATATTGTCTTTCTCTTCTATACCTCATGCATCTAGCTTAAATTATGCTTAAGGTTTTAGCTAATTCATGTTCAGATACTGTAAATTTGCTTAAAAATCCATCAGAGTAAAAATTAATTTAACAAGTAATTTTGTTCTAGGAAAATTATATAGATATGCCCATACATGCACACACAAACACACACAAACACTATATAGATGGACTCCCAAGTAAAATATCTTTATGAATGTGTCTCTATATACATGTACAGAGACACATATTATAAACACACATATTCTATATTATTTTGGTGATGTTACCTCTATCAACACGGCTAATGGAAATATATCTATAATTTGTAGTTCCAGGCACACACAAAAAAAGTGTATTCTCTACAGGCTCCCCTGTTTTTAAAAAAAGTATTTATATTGTAAAAGGTGTTTGCAGATGTCTTTGGGGACAGCTTCTGTGGCTGGTTTGTGATTGGTCTATATTTTTTATTAATTTCTTGTCCATAGGCTACTTTGTAGACCCCACAATTCAAATGTGTAGATCATTCAGAATTTATGGGTAATTCATAGTATGGCTCTTGGGGTCTTTGAAAACATTATTAAGACAACATTCTAAACACTTAAAGGGAAGAACGTTAAGGTCATATTATAGTTTCTTTTTTAATATTTTTTGAAAAGTGACTTCACAAACACCAACTCTAACATGATTTAGAAAACTGAGGAACAGGCAAGTGTATTTTAAAATGCTAAAATAAAACACATTTATACAAGTACAAAGCAAAACAATGCTGATAAAAATGTTAAACTTTATGAAAAAAATCATTTGCAATTCACATCAAAATAATTTAACATTCTCTATTGTTTTAATAGTACAAGCTGCAGCAACAGAAAAGAACAGATACGAGCACACAACTTTAAAACCAAATAAGTTAAAGTGCAGAAAAAAGTAAATACAAGCACTTGTAGCCCACACAGATCTTTTAGGATTGGCACCATCTCTCTAAACATCTATATTCTATATAGATTTCTAATTACAACACCACCGGCAGCTGCCATTGAATTCTAGAAATACACACAATATACATAGTATATTTGTTCACATTGCGAAGATCAGTGAAATTCAGCCAACTGTTTTATACATGCCTCATTTTTCAACAGATAGCAGAGAATCTCCCAGGCCTCAGAGCCTCTTTAAAGTGAATTCCAGTTATCTTTACACTTTTCACTGATCTGTATATTTTTCACAGTATAAAATTATAAGTGGTAACTATAGAGATTCAGACAGCTCAAGGGTTATTAATAAGCTGTGGCTAAATGTGAACTCAGATAATACCTCTCAAGTCTCCAAAACATGTACATTTTGCTGGGAGACTAGCATAGGAAATGTTTTTTGTTTTGTTTTTTTTTCAAAAAAAGTGTTTAATTCCTGGTTTGGAAGTCACAGAACTGCAGCAGAGCCATTATATAATTCATTTACAATCAGAAATAGCTCCTAAGTCTTCCTGATCACTTGCTGGTAACAGCAGCTGCTTGGTAAAGACTGTTACTAACAATTTGTTCTTTGCTTCAGTCAAGTGACATATGGTTTTCCATTCCACACTTCCTTTCTGTTCCCTATGCTTAACCCAGAAAGACGGTTGGTTCATCCCAATCCAGATATGATCTTCTCAGGTTGTCCCCATTCCTCTCCCAAAATAGAAGAATGAATGGACTGCTTAGATAGGCCGTATAACTTGATCAAACCAGATCTTCTTTTTTTCATCCTGGGACCAAACTGTCTTTTAGGGTTACTTTTCTGAACCTTAGCATTTCACTGTACTTTCCCCTTCCTTTCAGTCACTCTGGTTCTGACTGCATTATCATTTGGTCCAGGAACAGACTGCTTTCAAGGAAATTCAGTGAAAATAGGTACCCAAATGAATTGTGAAGTTCATATCCTAGCCCTAGAATGAATATTCAGTTCTCTTGGTATTGTAGATTTATTACTTGGAACCTGGTATTAGAATTGGCAAAGAGACAGAGTTAGCATCATTCCAAAATAAAAGATCCCAAGAATGCATTACTAATAATATTATGTATTATACAATGTACTGAATCAAGTGGCAAAGGATATAGAAATACAGAGAAAAATATATCTTGTTTTCCTCTAGTTGGATAAATCATTTTTTTTATTACAATTGATAATTTCATACAGAATTTTCAGATGGTAATTTATTTGCATTAAATTTTAATTTCTAATGAATTTTCTCAAAAGGTAGTATATACCTTTTAAAGAACTATGCTACTAAAAATATTAGAAAAAGAATTTGATTATGGAGAAAGTTTAAAAAATGTTCCATTGGTCAACACAGTGAAACTTATTGTACTTGAGAATAAAATGGAAATCAACAAGGATTTTATGAAACAAATTATACAACTTAAGATAGTAGAGCATATTTAGAAAGGTTTCAGTGCCTAAGAGATCAAAACAGTAATCCCCAGGTCAATGCCACCCTTGTGATGAGGATCCAGGGATATTAATACTTCAAAATATTTACATTTGTTTTTCAAGTAGAGACAGACAGTTGCTTTCAATGACACCATAAACCTTAGCTAGATTTACTGTTTCAAGAGTCTTATTATTAACATTTGGGATCAGGGTGCCCTGAAGATGTTACTTTCAAATCTGGCATGGGAGGTTTGATTTTTACAAATTAATATTTTACTACATTAATGTAAGCCTTTAATGTTTTATATTGAAAGATTTGATTTAAAATTTAATGCAAGAACAGATGTCAGGAAAGGGAAGTGAAGCAGTACATTTATTTTAACTTTTAAAAGTGGAGAACGGGTATGTCAATGGATATATTTTCATTTCTCAATTCCTTTTTAAAGTAGATGTGAAATAAAAAACTATATACCAAAATAAGAATACCGAGCTAAAGGAAAAAGGTTGTATTTATCTTTTTCTCTCTGCTAAAAATAAACTTCTGCCTCACAGCAAATCTTTTTCATAAGGCTATCTTTAGTATAAGGCTGGGTCAAATGAACTTTAAATTTATAGGACACCTCCTCCTTTTATTACTATCCTTATTTAAAAATCAAAAACATTTGGCACCTGAGGATAGCTGTAATGGGAGGAAGAAAGAGATGACAGTGGTTGCAAGTATTGAGCTATGAATTCTACCTATATGAGCCTATCAAAGCACATGTGTTTCTATTATAATTTTAAATGTTTTTTACAGTATTTAAAAAGTGATAGTATGTAAAGTGCACAAAATCATATGAATATTTTAAAAAGGAAAATATTAATAATTGCTTTGCCTCTTTTTGGAATGGCTAAGAAAGATTTTGTGGTTTATATTCATTAAGGTTCCTCTGTTTTAGTATTCTGTATTGCTTTGAAAAATCTACATTTGTCATAGTTCATAGCTGCCCTGGTTAAGCAGCCCAGAAAAGTTAAAATCACTGCTCACTGGCATAGCTAAATCTCTGCTAAGTTGACTTGACACAGTTTAAAATTTCCAGTGTATTAAGATTGTGTTAATTTTTTGAACAACAGTCCCTCCAGTCATGACAGTGTCTTCATTGGGTCTATGGACTGTTCTTCCAGTGGTGGGAATAGAAGAGGACAGAGGAGCTCTTTGTGCATCAGGTTCTCAAAAGAAAGGATGAAGAAGCCCAAATGCATATTTTAATATTTTAGCTGGCAATACTAATGCAACAGCATTCATAAGGAGGAGTGTCCACATTTCATGAAAGAGATAGCCAGGCTGGAGCTCAAGAATTATTATTATAAAGAGAATTTCCAGCTACACAACGCACCCCAGTGAGGGAATTACAAAACAGTACTCCAGAAAATATTTTTTTGCTACTCCAGTATTGATTGGCAACACGGTGAGATAGTCAAGAAATCTTCCACTGGTTTTCGTGGATAATGGAGGTGAACTGAAATAACTAGGTGGAATCCCAGATGCAGGCTTTTAAAAGAGGTTTTCACAACTAAATTGGAGAGGAAAGTCTCTGGAAAAAGCCTTACATACATCAGCGGCGCGCTCGTCCATTTTGTGTTCTGCAATGGGACACACCCACAAATAACGCCTCAGTAAATGCTGAGCCAAGTTCCTGATTTTCAAGGTCTTTAAAGGAAAGAACAAAAGAAGAGAACGGTTGACGTTTTGGTCCCAGATTTTGAGTTTGTTAGAAAATGTACATTCATGTTTGGTGAAGCAAAGAATCTTCTGGGAAAAGAATTAAAGTAAACGAACAAAACTTTTTACAGTTGCTTATTAACCATGCTTTTTGCCCTCCGTTAGGTTGTTTCACACTCATTGCTTCCCAGGAGCAAAGCACTTGGTATGAAAGTGTTTCAACAGACTCCTTGTCAGCCCTCAAAAATAGAAGCGGTGTTTCTTAAAAGCCCATGTTTTCTAAGGCCACTAGAAGAAAATCTGCCGAAAGATGTGTAGTCGGTGTCTTCGTCGGTTGATGTTAAATAGCACTATTAATCTGTTTCCATTACGGGTGTTCCTGGGCATCTTCTCCCTCGGGTCCTAACCAGGCGACTCTGCTCGTCACTGTGTCCGTGCGAAACGGGAGGCCCGCGCTGCGCGGGCGGGTCCCGGCGTGGTTTCCAAGGACCTTCACAACGACGAGGAGCTCTGAGAGTAATCTCTTATGATCAGCGTGTCGTACTTGGGAGACGACGGGATACACAGGGCCGACTCGGACACCGGCGAGTTGGGGGCTGTACTGCCCGAGTCCACCGAGTCTCTGAAGGGGGACGGCGGGGTGAGCGCCACCAGCTCCTCCAGGTCGGGCTTGCAGGCCGCAGCCTCGGGCCCGGCGGCCGCGCTCTCCCGGGCCGCGGCCCCAGCCGGCTGGGCCGCCGCGGGCTGCGCGCCGCCCGTGACCTCGATGGCGGGCAGCGGCTGGATCTCGGCGAACGTGGTCATCGTCGTGGGCAGCTGGATCTCCGTGGGGATCAGGTAGGACGAGCAGAGCGGGGCGCCGCCGCCGGCGCCGGGGCCCGCGGTGGACAGCATCATGGAGTTGAGCTCGCTGATGTTGGCGGTGAAGCGCGTCACCACGCTGCTGATCTGCTCCATGAGCGAGCCCTGCGACGAGCTGCTGCGCGCCGCGGGCTCCGAGCGCAGCGACGGCGCGTCGTCGTCCGTGCGGCTGGCCGAGCCCGCGCGGCGGCTCAGCGTGCGGATGGGCGACGGCGAGCGCGGGCGCGCGGGCGCCGGGAAGCGCTCCTCCGCCTCCGCCACGTCGTACAGCGCCTTGGGGCCGGCGTCCGGCGGCTCGGGCCCTCCGGGCCCCGCGCCCGCGCCGCCGCTGCCCCCCGAGCCCGCGCCCGCGCCCGCGCCGCCCGCGCCCGGGCCGCGGCTCTCCGTGCTCTTGGGGAAGGGTTTGATGACGGCCGTCTGGTTGGGGTTCTCCTTCCTGTTGATGTGCACCGACAGCCGCTGCCAAAGGTGCTGGCCGCGGCTGCTCTTCTCGTTCTGGGCCCACGTAACCGATTTTCCGTTGGAGCTGCAGAGAAAAGGGAAACAGGTGACTCAGTGACGTCCCCGCGGGAGGGGACCACCGTGGGCGGTCGTGGGAGCCGGATGGACAGGGCTTTCCTTGTCCTTTCGGGAAATACGGCATCGAAAGGACACCAGGGGAAGAGATCTTGGAAGTGGCCTTTGTGTGCTCCTTTTGAGTTAAGGGCTGCCTTATTGTATCTGGCCTTCTGTTTATCACTACCACGAAGTGTGTCAAAGGGGTATCAGTAAAGATAAAGGAGTATTTATGGGGATTCTGCTGTAGCTCTGAGCCCACATGTGAGGGCAACATCTGGTTGTGATGCAAGCATGGACGCCAAGGCTTGCAGGCTTGAGGCGCTGTGCCTAAGTGCCCGGTGCAAGGTCTTCCTAAAGCTGTCAGTCTCCGAAAGGGCCTCAACTCACCAACCTAATCATTCGAGGGGAGGGAACGAGGAGGAGTCAAGGGTTACCAGGAAATAAGATGTGGATCCTGCTTAGGTTGTATTCTGCCAGCCAAGGGTAATGGGGGATTTATATCTGAATTCCTGACTTTGAACGTGGTTTTACTTAGTCTGGCTTACCTGCTGGTATGTACAAACTCCATGAACACATGCAAATTTCTAATTAATGAGAACTTTTCTACTTCACAGAAATTTTCCTCACAAATTTACTTTTAGGCCTAATCCTTAAATAACAATTCTAAGAGGGAAGATGCGCCTTTGGCACCTAGCGTGTTGCTTTCAAATTAGAGGCTTGGTGAGTGTAGTCTGATGTGTGATTTCTTAGGGCTGTTCTCCCTCTTCCTTTCCCATGTGGTTCCTTTCCGTGTCCACCGCCCGGAGTCTGAAAGCTGCTCTGAAGAAGATGCGGTTGGTAGCTCGGCCTCAGCGCCTGACCGTGTACTCTCCTTACCACTAAAAATGGCACAACTGCCTCTTAACTACAGACCCTCTGTCAGGAACCTCACTATGGTAAGAGAATGAGGCCTGACCTTCGGGGATGTTATATGGAGAGGTCCTGGTGTGATTTCCCACCACAAAGAAATCCAAGATCTCTACAGTAGGGGTCTGGTTATGTCCAGACAACTCTGTTCTAGGCACTGTGAACTAGACAGCCTTGGGCAGTCTCTGAACACAGGCTTTGGCAACCCAATATCATCACAGCCAGTGGTTAGTAATTTATCTGTGTGTAGGACTCATCGAGGGCATTTGCCAGATACCCTAAGCAGGAGTTGGGTTGGGTTTCAAAGACACAGCTATGCATGTCCCAAACACTCTGTCCCCTGCTCCTTGCAGTGATTCCGCAACAGGTGTTTCAGAAACAGAAAACTAACAGGAAGCTATCCTTTCTCTCTGGATTCCTATTGCTCCCTTGGCCTCCTTGCTGGAAGTCTAATCTGCCTTTAACAGGTTGGGGACCGAATTGTGTGTGGAGCCCCACTGTCTTGGGCTGTCTGACTGCAACCCCCAAATCCATTCTACCGGGGACACCCCCCTTTATAACAGACCATTTTTCTACAGCCCCTCTTACATCATGGTTCTTGCCTCTTTCCCACACTGCTTTTCATTTCTTCCTGTGTCCCTTTCCATTTTGGGGTCTTCCTCTCTCTGCCCCTTCCTCTGAAATCCCATTCCATTTAATCTACCCAAAACATTGCCACCTGGTCTCCTCAAAAGTCTAGAATGTGAGGTGACCTCCACCCCTTGCCCTGTAAAGGAAGGACACGTTATTTCCAGGTTTGGAAGTTGCTCTGCACCCCCACCCCCAGTAGCAGATGGGGCCCTGACACCTGTTAACTTTTCTTTCTGGAGGGTTTCAGGGTTTGTGTCACACTTTGCATTCACTTGGCTTGCTCCCTTTTCTGTTGTCAGTTGCATTACTTTTCTTCTTCCCAGGTGTCTGCTAGCTTCTGGAGCATGGCAAAAAAGAAACACTCCAGATTATTTTTAGGATTTGATTGGAAGGATGGTTGCCAACAACACCGTTTCTGTCCTACCAGCAGGATAAGAAACAAGAATGCTGGGGTGGGGGGACAGTTAGTCTTTCAGGTCACTGAGGCCATTTTTAATTCAAAGCATGGGCCTAGAAGCCAGAAGCGCAACTGTGTTTATTCTACCGTGCTCTACTCTAGGGAAGTTCTTGTTCACAGTGAGGAGAAGTTTTAATGGAACATACCTATGGGAGGAAACAGTGATGGCCTTTGGAATCACATGTAGCCATACTCAAAAACATAATAGCAGATCAAACAACAACAACAACCCAAAAAACCTTTGGATATATGTGTAAGAAGGGAACTATCCTAACCAACCAATCTGCACAAAGGACTGACATCTTTTCTGGCCATCCATGCCTTTGCTCACGATGTCCATGGGCATGTGGGCATGTGGCAAGAGAGGACCTGACAGTTTGAACCACAATAGAAATGGACACAGGAGACACCAGAGAAATGGAGTCCAAATCTGAGTGCTTCATTTCATTCCTTGGGTTATGAAAGAGTTTTTTTCTCTGAAGTGAATGGGAACTCTTAAGAAAAACATTGGCTGATGACATTATTCTGTTTATTAGTAGAATGTAGTTTCTTTCCATGAAGACAGGGAATTTATCTGTTCATTTGCACACAGCAAAATTGTAATAAGCATTTGAAGGATGAATAGGATTTTTAAAACTAACAGGCCCATTTCGTGGTGCCCTGGAAAGTGCAATGGACAAAGGATCCTAAACTCTGGGTTCTTAATACTGGATCTACCATCCTGGATGCTTGGAAAATGATAATTTCTTTAAGCTGTGGTAAAAAAGACTGTATCATTACCTCCACTTTGTATAAAATAAAATACTGGTAATCTTTAGAAAATCAGAAAAAAGACTATTATTTGGAGCAGGTTGTTGTGAGGATTAAATGAGACAATGCAGGTAAAAGCTTCTGGTAAGGAGACGGTTATCTAAGAATGTTACTTTTTGTATTCCGCCTGAATACTGTTTCAGAAAATAACAATATACTCAGGACCCTTTAGAGCTCTGAACAGAGAATTCAGTTCAGTGCAAATTAAAATATATGGTAAAGCCATCACTTATTTCTGGTTATTCCTCTTTAACCTGACCAACTGTAACAGGAATTGGAGTTCTGCAGGGTTTGGTGTGTGGCCTGTCTTTTCCCACACTGAACTGTCTCCCTGGGTGATCACATTTACTCACCTAAATTCCACATCATTCCTGTTTGACCTTTTATGTCTTCCTGAAATGCTTTTCCTTGTGGTCCTCCTCTCTGCCTTTTCCTTCCTTTTTGCCTAAGTACTTCCTATCTTTTTTTTTTTTTTACCCTAAATTACCTTTTCTTGAGGGAAGCTTTCCTAACCCCACCCCTTAGTCCCCATATTAGGCACTTAGTCTTTGCTGTATGTCCATCTCATCTCCTAGATGGAGTGTTATGAAAGCACAGAGGGTTGTTTCCTATTATATCCATAGTGCATTGACTAAATATGGTAGGTGCTCAATATTTTTGGACCAATAATTGAGTGGATAAATTCATTTCATGAAAAAAATCATACTGAATTATTTGCTAGAATTAAGGTTTTAAAGTAATTCACTATTAATTAAATTCTATTTCTTTTGTCTTATGGATCTTTCTACTTTTTATGTAACTTGCTGTCATCAACAGTGCTCAATATATACAGATAAAAAAGATCATAAACTAAGTACAAAAGCACAGACCTTGACATCCATCGTGAAAATCACAGAGGAAGTGTGTATTCCTTTATTTGGTACATCTGCACCTATTTTTTGTACATTTTGTACAGATACATCTGTTTTAGTGAAACGTCTCAGTGATGAAAGCTTACTGAGGCAGTATGGGTAGTGGATCCAGAATGTGGGTCCAAGATCTGACCCCTGAGTGATGCTGGGCAAATCACTTAACATTGTTGAGCCTCTTTACTTCCTGGTAAAATGGAATAAACAAACTTCCCGTGCTCATCTCACATGATTTCAGGAAGGAAGCAAAGGGATAATACACATGAGGGTATAAAGCACAGCACCTTTGCAAGGGGTTATTCATCACCATCAAACCTCCCATTCAATCCAGGTAAAGTGTTGTTTATTATTACTTTAGCTTTATTTTTAGTTTCAGGATTATACATTTGTTCTAGGAGTCTGAGCTGAAAAAAAGGAAAGGGAACTTTTCCTTATCATTTTATAGACTTCACCTTCCCCACTGAATATTTGGGGCATTAGAGAAGGAGAAGGAAAGAGGAGTGGAAAAGAGAGAGAAACAGAGAAAAGGATTTGCTGCATCTGGGAAAGAAGACGACTTGGCCAAAAACAAAACAAAACAAAACAAAACAAAATAAAAAAACTTCTTGTTCTTTCTAGGTACCAATTAAACCTTTTTGTCAAATCTAATACTACGTAATCTATTTTATGACAATTTGCTCTTTATTTCTGGAAAAAAGAAAGCAGCACTTTGATAGTTATTTGAGGGTTAGATTTATTCATTTCTTGCTTACAGTTTGAGTCTGCCAAAATAACACCTTCTACCTTTATTCGTTAAAGTTTATTCTTCCTCTTCTTTTCCATGTGGGACACTTAAATCATTCATTTCAAGCAGGCCATGAATGTCAGCTTAATGACCTCTCTCAGTTTCTCTGTTCACTTGCCAAAAACCTCCAGGAAGTGGAGCATTCTGCCAGGGCACATTCTTAGGAAGCAAATAGTAATTAAGAGAGTCTGACCATCAAAAAAGTCTATGGAATTTAGAACTTTCATGCCCATTTTAAATGGCTGTTGAATGATCTGCATATTTTTTCCCTCAAAACTTGTTTAGGATTTTATTAATGACATACAAGCAATTAAAATTCTTAGAACATTTCATAAGCAATTAAAATTCTTGAAACAGGCCATTTTCCTCTCTTTTGTTGCATGGTTTAGTAGTACCTTCTTCAACTGCACACTTTCAGGGCATTAGAATAATAAAATATGTTCTATGAAAATTAACAAGTTATTTTTATAAGA